CAGCGTGGCCGGGGAGGGCTGGACGCAGCGTGGCCGGGAGGCTGGCCACAGCAGACATGTCTGCCCAGTCCTGGAGCCAGAAACCCGGAGCCGGGGCCTCAGCGGCCCAGGCTCTCTCTGACGGCCACCAGGGAGGGCCTCCAGTGCCTTTCTCAGGCTCCTGAGGCGGCTGCTCGCCTCGGCCTGTGGCTCATCCACTGCTCCAGCCTCGGCCCCCTCGGGACCTGTTGTGCCCTCGGGGCTTTTCTCACTGGGGCTTCAGGGCCCCCCCAGGCAGCCTCATCCTGGCCTGATGACCCCGGGCCGGCTCTCTCACCCAGGCGGGCTCCCGGGGCGGGCTCTTGGCACCCCAGCTCCAGGGACAGAGAGGGAATGGCTGCCCACTCCAGCCACTGACCAGAAAGGCGGGTCCACGGCCCCTCGTGAGGGGCGTCCTCTCAGAGGGGTAAAGCAGAAGCAGCGGTGTCTGGGGGTGCCGGCCCCCTCCCTGCTAGAGCCTAGAGCTGGCCCTCCTGGGAAGCAGTGCCCGCTGCCCGCAGCCCCCGCAGCTGGCCTTCGCTCAGTGTCACCCCACCCCAGGCAGACGCAGGCCCCCAGACCCACCACCGCCCACTCAAGCTGGGGGGGGGGGTGGCTCTTGGCCCCCCCGCGGCTCTGCCTCGGGGTTATGGCCGCCTGGGCCGGGCCTGCCCCAGGTCGGCGCTCCCCGTGCTCCAAAGGCAAGTTCGGCTTCTGGCCGGGGAGTCGACTGGCCCGCGACGGGCGGAGGCCCGCGCCCCAGTGGCCACCGGGCCTGGGCCGCAGGGCGGGGGCGGCTCCGTGGGAATGGGCCGGCCCCTCCACGGGGACATGGGACGGGCGCTCACGGCCTAACGCCCCACGCCCCTGCCGCAGGCGCCGCCATGGGGGAGCTGCGCCGCACGGAGTCCTCCCTGACGGCGCTGGGCGAGGAGGAGCTGTGGGACATGATGGACGGCCACCGCCACCGCATCGTGCGCAGCGTCTGCCCCAGCCGCCTGACCCCCTACCTGCGCCAGGCCAAGGTGCTGGGCCAGCTGGACGAGGAGGAGGTGCTGCACAGCCCGCGGCTCACCAACACCGCCATGCGCGTGGGTGAGCGCCCGCGGGTGGGGCGGG